TTTTCAGCATCTGGGCTGCTGGATTTGCCATGAAAGACGGTAAATCGTAAGTTTCGTCGTGTTTATTACTCAGTTTTCATATTCGAAAATATTGTATTTTTTGTCTTTCGCCGAAAATATATCTAGCAGTTATTATCAGAAGAATTGAAAGTACTTTCTAAATCACTTATATTCAGTTTTTGTTGCTTTTTGTATGAATTTGGTCTTCCAGCTGTATCTTTTTCAAGTTTTTTTCTCGACTATTTTGTACGCTTTTTACCCAAAACTTGTCGAGACAACAACAAATTCGACGAATGCCAAGCCGGTTAATTTTATAAGTAGAACTATAGAAAATTGCTTTGTTCCTTTGTTTTATTCCTTCTTGTTTTCTGGTAAATTTTGTATTTTAAATGCTCTATAATTTTGTGTATAATTTTGGCTAAAAAGCAGTGATGAAGAGGGAGAAAAACAGAGAAAGAGCAAAGCAGTGCCACAGATCACAGTGCATTATTGCGTCACAATGCACGCGCATTAGCCAATCAAATCGTCTGTTATATCACACTTATATTATAACAACTCTTAGAGAATGAATCAATTTGTTTTTATATTTTTTATAAAATGTCTCATTAGTAGAACTGGGTCTCTTTAAATACCGCTTATACATTTTATTCTTATGTCTTATTGATTTAAGAAAACCCTTAGATAACCATGATTTTTTAGAGCATTTTTTTTTACCCTTTTTAGTGGAAAACAATTATTATATGTTTCACGGTATTTAGATAAAAGAACTCTCATCTGCCTTTAGAGGATCGTAAAACCCTTCTAAATTTTTCCAATTAACATTACTTAAACGATGTCGGAATTTAGCTGCATTTGTTGCATTTTTATCACGGAATACTAAAAATCTGTCATCATTCATTCATTCATATCCATCAATCGTGATCGAGTAACACAGAATATAGGCAAATGATCGGAAATATCCGAGAGCAATAAGCCATTAAAAGAATATATAATTATCTGAGTGATTGGTATAAATATGTTATCGATAATCGTAGCAGTATGTGACGTTATTGTGCAACACACTTAAAACTTTGGTCTTCCAGTAAAGACCTGTGACATTCTGGTGTCGATATTAACCAGATACCTCATCGAAAAGATAAAGTAAGACCGGGAAAATCAATTTTTCTATTCAATATTTAATTAATTTCTGTTAACATAATAATGTTAGGCAACTTAAAAAGCTTGCCTGCCAGAAATGTAAACTATATGCAAGGATTTAATTTAATTTAATTTATAAACTTTGCCGATGAAACAGTACATTACATGACAGGACAAAAACAAACGTACATAATGAAATACAGTAGGTACATGACCACGGCTGGGTGACCGCAACAGCGAATAGCCAATTACTGCGGGCCCGATTAATCGTATACTGTTATAAAATTGCCTATATATTATTATCTAAGCTCCCCCCCCCCCATATATAAAAGCCATCTCTGTCGCTTACATTAGTATATATACCTATGGAAGTATCAAGTATATACAGCCACAAATACAGCCATACAGGTCTGACGCCAGATACCAATGTGTAAATATTATTGCTTGTCAGATGCATTTTTCGTGATTTTCAAACATACTAAAATTATATACCAAGCTCATCCTTGGTTGTCCAGTAGTTTAAGCATTGGTCTGCAATAGCTCTCTTACAGGTTGGAAATCTTAGTTAAAGTTTACAACTACACATTGTATTGTTGTCTAGCTGGTAAAAACTGCGGGCTCATGAAGTACAGGTGTATGTACCACAGAATACCGCCAAAATTTACATGTTACATATCTTTTGTCTTAATGTATATAATATGGTTCCTTAATATTTTTTAATATAGTCTATCGATATATTTTTTCTTCCTGGGGGTTTTGGGGCAAGATTTCATAGACTTAATGTTTTTTTTGAAATGAATATTCTGTGGAAAAAATCAGTGTACCACAGAATACCAGTGCAGAGGTGAGTAAGCAACGGTTTATCAAATTGTACCAGGATTTGGCGTGTCATGTTGTATGATAATACTGTGGGATATTGCTTTAGCAACTAATTTAGTGAAAGTTAAACACTAAAATCAGTACAGAATACCAGTGGTATAACCAAAGAATGCCAGGTTTATCAATAATTTTGAAAAATTCAGTTTTTCAATGATAAAATTAATTACACCGTGTGATTCCAGTGTAGTAATAATGTTCAAAATCAAATCAAATCAAATATATTTTTGCCACAAAAAATAACAGTATAGAAAGTATACAAGGAATTATAAAAAGCAAGGAAGCCCAAAATAAACCAAAAGGCTTATAGAGTTTGGTCTACCTTTTACATTCTGATAAGACCGAAACTCATTTAAAATATGAAATTAACACTACCGCTCTGACAATAATAAATAATTCATGCGTGAAAAAGACAGATATCAATATGTTTTAAATACACAAAAGTAACATACACAAATCACCAACATACACAGATATACATTTACATACAAACGAACACATCTATATTCACGATAAAATATTAATACTAAAGAGTGAATAGATATTCTTTTAAACTTTTTCTAAAACAAGAGATGGATGAAGCACATAAATATTTCGTGGAAGTGAATTAAAGAGTTTTACACCTTGATAAATAACAGAAAACTGTCTAATTTTCGTTCGGCAAAATGAAACAAAAAACAAATTTGAGTTACGTGTATTATAATTATGAACTTGTTTAACGCAAATAATTAAGAAATGATTAAAGCTGGGAGGTATATAACATCTCTTTATAATATAAGTATATAAACTTACCCAAATGAAATGAATATATCTTATCAAATGGAAAAAAATTTAGTTTCCTAAATATAGGTTCAGTGTGTGCATAATATGCCGATTTGTCTACAATTCTGATAATATGTTTCTGCAGCAACACAATACGATATAAATTCGATGGGTATGTTGATCCCAAACTAAAATACAATATTGCATATATGGGTAAACAGGAGAATAATATAACGTAATTAATGATGAATTAGAAAGACAAAAACTTGCTTTTTAATTTGACTATACCAATCGATTTAGACA